TAATTTTACAAGGCTAATTACATTAGCTTCATAGGCAACCTCATCCCACAAGATGATTAGTTTTAAATTCAATACTTTTGCTTTAATTTCATCCCCCTCCCCCCCTCTTCTTTTTTTCTTCTTCTTAAAACTAATACATGCATAAATTATATATTTATTTATTGTGTAAATAGATAAATATTTAATTATTTTAAAATTTAATATTTTTATTGTATAACAATTTAAGAGTTCTGTTTATGTCATCATTATCTAATTGTCATATAAATTTTAAAAAAAAATTAATTAAAATGTAGCATAAAAAAGTTTTCTGTCATATTGGTCATCAGGTGTAACCACAATATTTATTTGAAACTCTAAATCGTTTTATAACTAAATTCAAACGAAAGCACACTCGTTAGCATTCCAATAAACGAACTAAAATATCGTATTTATTTAACTTTAAACAAGTTGACACATATTTACATTTTTTTAACACATTAGACGAAAAATATCATAATTTTTAAGCATATTCAGCTCTTGTAAGCGTATAGTTTGGCTGAAGATTATATATTAGTGCGAACAAATTGAGGGCCCGCGTTTTACCGTAAAACGCAAGCAACCCCTTTTTTTAAAATTGAGGCGTGATTTTAAATTTTGTATAAAAAAAATGGAGTATGTTGGTTTGGAATAAAAAAAAAAATGCTAGCCATAAAATATAAATAAATAGACATGTCCGCCGGACGGCCGTTGGCCGGCACCGAATTTTTTGGTTACGTCAGAAACGCCGCCGTTTATGATATTTTCATATTATATACCTTTCAAAAAATTGATTACTGTTGTAATTTTTTTTAAATGTCAATCAAGATTCTGATGAATTTTTATTATCTACATATTTTAAAAATAAATAAATATATTGACGTCATTTTAGAATTCAATCAATCAAAATTTTTTATAAGTTACCATAATTTTTACATATTTTTTAAAATAGATGCATCTACATATAATAAAGCTATAAATAATTTTAGTATTATAACGGTAAATAATAAAAATTCATTTATTTGGAAGTTTTTTGGTTACTTACAATTAAAAAGAGATAATATAACAATTTTCATAAATTTTGTAAAATTTTACTGTAATTGTTGCCTAGAAAAGGCTAATGTAGACGATTATGATTCAAATAAGCACTTTTCGCAGTATATTTTTTTAAAAAATATTATATTCTCACATTAAGCCAAGATTTTTTAATAAATTAAAATACATGTTTTGTAAAATGTAATCTAGCTATAATATTCAAAACTTTTCGATCTATATTAGCACAGGAAATTTGTTAAAAAAACTTGACTTGTGATCATAATATTAAAGAAGATACTTCATGAAATTCGCAAAATTTAAATAAATATTTTACATCAAAACCAAAATTCTAGACAATTTATAAAACCTCTATAAAATGGCTTCGAGCAAGAAACTATGCGTTACTATGTTGTACTGACGTATTACCTTTTCAATCAATTGATAATATAATAATCAAAGATTTTTTGAATATATCAAATTTATAAAATAAATTGGTATAGTTACTTAAAACTCCAATTATTATTAAACAAGAACCTTTTAAGATCAACTTCTATGTCTTTTTTGTTCTATTGAAAGGTTGCCGAGGAAGGGTTACAGTAGTTAAATTTCATAGCCATGCCAACAATATGATTACATAGACACGAATAATTTAAATATAATTGTATATTCATTTGTCCTAAACCATCTCTGTTTCTGGGTAGCTTTACAAACCCAGAATAAATTTTTAACATAATTTATTTCTCCTTGATAAATTGTCCCTAATAAGAACAAGAATGCCACATTCTTCTTGGAAAACGACATTCACAAGATATGGATGTTCAAAATTTTTGGACAGAATTTCAAAGCTCGCCAAAATAATTCTTGGTATTTCGGCTACTAGCACACCCAGTGAACACCGCGGAGATCATCATTATCTCCTTAAAATTTAAATAAAATAATTTTTTATACATGATACTTATAAAATTTACGAAATCGATTTTGGATTTATAATTCTTAAATAATTAAAAAAAATATGCCGAGTTATCTGTAATTGAAGTATAGCTATTAAAAAAAATATATTATAAAAATTTATAACTGCGCCGATTTACTCCGCTTTTGCTGACGGCGGCTAAAAATCAACCCGCCACCGGCCTTCGATTAGGTTTTTAAAAATGCGCCAGCCGCCGATACTTTCGTCGGCGCACAGGCCTATAAATAAATATTGGTAAAAGCGAACCATTTTACGTTTTTAAAAATGGTTTCTTCTAGCGTCAAATGGTAATTTAACCCATTTTATACGATACCATTTTGAAACGCTTTATTTACACGTTTGCAGCGCGTTTAAAGAATTTGTAGATTACACCGCTTATGTCATCGCGGGCAAATATATATTAAAAGTATTATTTATATTTTTTATAAATATCGAAAAAATTCAAAAATTTATGACAATTTCATTATTTATCTTTTATAACATATATACCTTGAGGGTAATAAAATTGTCAATTAGCTAGGGTTATATAAACAATATAAGCTTACCAATTAAAAAAAAAATCAAATAAATATAAAATTTAACCATTGTATAATCCATTTAATTCCAATTAAATTTTTATTATATTTCAATTATTATAAAAAAAAATTAATAATAACAATAATAGAAGGAACATCGTAGTTAATAGTAGCCTTGTATGTCATAAAAAAAAGAGTTTTAATAAAAAGTATATAAAATGGAAGAGAAAAAATTAGAAAACTTCAGGAAATACCACTGAGGAATTTAAATGATTTACCTGGGTTAAGCAGAACATATCTCTATGGGCTCATTAGTTTTTTGAAAGCGCTCCTATGATTAATGTAAGAGTGCTGGTTCCCCAAGAATGTGTATTCAGCAGGAAAATCCTTGACTAGCATGTATTTATATATCTGAGTATACTGATTGGATCTAGAAAATGGGACTTCTCAAACAAGGAATCCTAATTTTTTATGATAACAACCATGACTGAGAGTGTTATTGAACAATGCGAATAGATACAAAAAAGGAAGCAGAACACCAGGTGAATATAAGATTCATGTTTATGAGGGAGCCAGTCCTGGTAAATATTATTTTTTTTTAAGTTATGAGACCTTAGAAGATTCATTTTAACATAACAATTAGCTAAAGGTAGCGTGTGACGATAATACCATTCAATCAATGTAAGGCACATTTATAAATAATTTACTCTTATAGAATAGCTAACGGACATATGATGGGTTAAGCATGGATAATATATTTTATTAAATAATAGATATTATGGAAGTCTTTTATTTGGTTCATAACTCTCAAAGTACACCGTTGGGAATGAATTGTGAAGACTCCTATCTCTTCATTAGCTTAGCTTGTTAGATAACCTATATGCAAAAATTTGAACATAATAATTGTAAAATGTAATTTTTGGTAAAATATCATTATAAAAAGAAATAAAAGTATATCAATGCTGTTTAAGTATGGGAAGGGGCATTAAAAAAAATAAATATATAATACATCATAGATTATATTATTTAAATGATAAATTTTCGTTTAATCTACATTATTACACCTTACATATAAAGGACTAGCATATTAAAACACTTTTAATAAAAAGATAATCTTTTCTATATTATAAACATCGATTATTCCGAAAAGAGGGCAAGTTATGACCAACGTCGTAGGAGGGGACAGGGGGTTTAGCGATTAGCGGTTTTTAGCGAATCTCCCAAACTTAAAATTTGCTTTATAGATTTTATGATTTTATCCTGGAATCTTATTTAAGGACAATGTGTTGGAATAAGTTGTTCGAAGTGAACTTTTGAATTATACATTTAAATATTATTAATTATTATTTCTTTTTTTTCATTAAATAATAGATTTTTCTAACACACAAATTAAAATACGCAAAAATTTATGGCAATATTGTCTGAAGTGTTTACATGCTAAGTATACTTTTATAACTCATTGGGTTCTAATCGACTGAATTAAATATGAAATCTAATTCTGTTCTTAAATCCAATTGTCTTGTAAATGGCTAGCTAAGACTACTGACAAACACTCGCCACAAAAAATTCAACGACCCTTTAAAAAAACCCTTAATTTAACTAAGCATCAAAAAAAATTATTTGAAATGGGATTCTAGAATAAGCAGCTTAGAAACACGGAGGGTATATAATATTTTATGCAGTTTTATATTAACATAAAAATAATTTTTGATAAATGAAATGAATTAGATACATATTTACATATTATATATTATTTATTAAATGGATAAGATACAAAGTTTTGTCGACAACTAAAATAGTTATTATTTTGATGTCCTGGTAAGGCCATCCCTAGCTAAATTTCGCCTTAAATGTTTGTAAAGATCTGTTAGAGTCAATTATTTTTAAACTATTCACAAAACATTAATGAGAACCTAAAAATCTTCTCCCCAATCTCTCTCTTCCTCTCATCCTTTTCATATAGATTAACAAATGCGACATTATAGAAAAATAGTTAATAATGATAATAATTTAATTTTATTTCTAATTATACCCTTCTCATTTTACAAATATGATTATAGTGGGCACAGCACAAATTGACCGTTTCAAACGCTGCGTTGCGACCACAAATAATGCCTTTCAAAATGGCCTTGCGCAAATTCGTAAAATTACCGTTTGGCGTTAGCAACCATTTAAAAAAAAAACGGAAATAGGTTTGTTGCTTTTTTATTACCTTTTTTTTTATTCTTCGCTTTGTAATATTATATATAAAATGTATAATATAAATAATAACTCACACGTAATCCTAAAAAAAAACGGAATATTTAGAAATTAAAGAAATAAGAAGGCAGACGATAATATAATTTTCATAGACAAACCTTTTTTTTTGGAACTTATTTAAAATTTTTAATCGACGGATGCTAATAAAAAGGCAACCTCAATTTAAACAAGGGTCGCTTTACGCTTTTTT